TTTGAAAGTATTTCACAGAAATTTCTATTTTTAGTAACCATGACAACACCATTCACCCAAATAAAAAAAAACAGAAATACATATTATGTATCGTAGTGTATTCTAACTGTGTGCCAAATTAGATTGAAATCAGACCAAAATTGTAGGAGGAGTAACGTTTTAAAGGAATTTCAAAGAAATTTCTATTTTTAGTAACCATGGCAACACCGTCCATCGAAATCAAAAACCGATGCAATAAATTATGTACCTTAGTGTAGTCTACTTGTGTGCCAAGTTATACTGAAATCGGACCAAAACTGTAGGAGGAGTAGCGTTTTAAAGGAATTTCACAGAAATTTCTATTTTTAGTAACCATGGCAACACCGTCCATCGAAATCAAAAACCGATGCAATAAATTATGTATCTTAGTGTAGTCTACTTGTGTGCCAAGTTATATTGAAATCGGACCAAAACTGTAGGAGGAGTAACGTTTTAAAGGAATTTCAAAGAAATTTCTATTTTTAGTAACCATGGCAACACCGTCCATCGAAATCAAAAACCGATGCAATAAATTATGTATCTTAGTGTAGTCTACTTGTGTGCCAAGTTATATTGAAATCGGACCAACCCTATAGGAGGAGTAGCGTTTTAAAGGAATTTCAAAGAAATTTCTATTTTTAGTAACCATGGCAACACCGTCCATCGAAATCAAAAACCGATGCACTAAATTATGTATCTTAGTGTAGTCTACTTGTGTGCCAAGTTATATTGAAATCGGACCAAAACTGTAGGAGGAGTAGTGTTTTAAAGGAATTTCACAGAAATTTCTATTTTTAGTAACCATGGCAACACCGTCCATCGAAATCAAAAACCGATACAATAAATTATGTATCTTAGTGTAGTCTACTTGTGTGCCAAGTTATATTGAAATCGGACCAAAACTGTAGGAGGAGTAGCGTTTTGAAAAATTGTTTACAGACAGACGGACAGACAGACAGACAGACAGACGGACGGACGACGGACACCTTACTATCGCATAAGCTCTTCTGGTCTCTGACCAGTAGAGCTAAAAAGACAGCGGACAAACCTGCTCCTCAGGTGAGCTAAAACCCCTTTATTTGATTGTATAAAATTTAAAGACAATTGATATATATTCACCAAAGAACCATCAATATACAAACACGACATGATTTTAAATTATATTTTTTGTGATGTCTAGTTCAGATCGTTATCAACCAGAACTTCATAGTATGAATTGGAATTGTGGAATATCTGACTCCTTCACTGTTGGTGTCATTTGTATGGAATTAGAGGCAGAATTATTGAAGTGAACTAAACAATGCAGAAAATGTCTCTGGTATCATCGAAAAAAAAAATTACCGATCGTTTTTGTGGAAGAATGGAATGGCAGCAGTGAAGCGTCCTTCGGGAATGCCTCTGAATAGTCACGCTTTTAATTAATACTCTGCTTTTTGTAGAACTGTTATAGACAATCATTGTACTGTGCAGAATAGAACCCTTCCATGCTAAGGGGGATATTCCTTGTTCAGAATTGAAATGGTTAATATGTCTTTATCATGCTTTGAGGTTAATGTTTCTATTTGTTTTAAATCTTTCTGGAGGGAAAATACACCAGTACTATTTTTCTGTGATGAAGGGACATTTCTCTTATAATTGTATATGTTCTTCTACAGATTCAATGTTTTTCTTCCTATAAATTGTGATCCCGCATCTGATGTTCTTTGAAATATCCAGACCAACATATCACCCTAATGGAAATCTCAATTAGGGATTGAGATAGACATTAAATGTTTTTATTTAAATCAGGTCAACCGAACTAATCAATTGAAAGCTTAAAACGAGTCATACATCTTGCCATTACGTCTCTAAAACACAGATAATGTGCGATATTGCCTGAGGTTAATGAATAAAACGTATGTGGTCATGTGAATGTACATTGTTCGTTGCTTCTACAAATCCCCGTTTTTAAAGGGTCGGCTGTCCTTGTAAAGTACAGAAAGGAATTAAACATATATCTTCTTCTCGCATTTACACAAGATTGGATGCAAAAGACATGTAGTAACTTTTACAGTCTGGTAAAATAAAACCTTATATGATTTTTCCTTGTCTTGTCTTCTTTATACATATTATTGTTTTTTTTAAATATACGATAAGTTTGAGAGCTTTTATATATATATATATATATATATATATATATATATATATATATATATATATATATATATATATATATATATATATATATATATATATATATAATTCACATTCAAAGAAATATTTCCGGAATTCTATTACTAGTACATGTATTTGTTCTGAATAGGCCATTTGTAGTATTCAGAATATGTTTTCAAATGACCACGTGACAAGCAAACACTGTATCCTTAAATTTAGGTTATAATTATAAAAATTTAAACTACATGTAATCATTTTGGTTGGAATTTCTCAAATAAAATAAGCATTATCCATATTGTGGATTACTGTTACAGTAATTTTCTGTAAGTGTCTTAAAATAAATAAATAAACAAATAAAATTAAAATTAAAATGTTTGTCGTAAATCAATCTTACTGGGAATTTGTAATCAGTGCTTCAAGAGTGTTGTCAAAACTGTACTCTTTTTAATACGAGGGGTGATCAAAAAGTTCGCGAACTAATTGAATAACTTCCATAAAAGAAATGAAATTAGGTTTTAGTGTTCATTATTTTTTAAAGTAGTCCTCTCCAATTTAAATGCACATCTGTCACTGTTCTGCCCATGCGCGAATCACGTGATACAGGCGGTCACGTGACATGCTCCGAAGCGTTCCGTTCACAGGATGTAAAAGATTTTTCCGAGTCTTATATTTCTTACCATGCAAGTTATTTTTAATAACAAGAAACTTGTCAAAAGTGGCCAAATCTCGGCAATAGGTTGGATGGATAAGGATATCCTTTCCCGGAATGAGCATGGTGACCATCACAACCCTAGTCTTCTGTCTTGGGAGCGTCGTTTATCCAATGTAGATATAAGGCATGGCGCCTTCTTTTTATCATATCTGATATGATTAAAGTCTAAAGTAAACAATATTTTAGGGATTTAATAACTGTATTATTGTTAAGATATTCAACTATTTTTTCTAACTGTAACTTGGCGGTCTTTCATATCAAATTGCTAAACTGAGGACACATCTCTTCCCCACATCTCTTCCCCAGCTTGCTTTCACTGGGCAAGAGAACAAGCATCATTTTAACCATCTCCCTTCTTTCACTTCAATCCAATTAAAGATTGAACTCCTGGCAAGTATTTTGTCTTCATAAACTTTGTACAAAGTATTATATGCTACTGCAAAGGAATTTCCAAAATACACATTAAACTTTACAGCCGTTCGTTGCTCGAGTACGACTGAGTCAATCATTTTTTGTCACAAGTAACCTACCTAATGACGTCATTTTCACATTGTGACGTCACAAACATGGAGCAAAACATTACATAAAACTGCTATATATAGAACACATGTATGACTATATGTGTGCCAAATTTCATTTTGATCTGAATTGTGGTTTTAAAAATATAGAGATAGTTCGCGAACTTTTTGATCACCCCTCGTATAAGATATAAAATCTTCTAAAGTTGATTTTAAGGGGAAGAAGGACCTTGAGCTGAAAAAATACCCGTCATTCAATTTTTTTCATATTTTGTATATTTCTTATTAAGTATGTCCCACATATCTTAAACCAGTTATATCACTAGGTTTCTTACCTTATTTTAGAGATATTGATTGACAAATACTATGCCCTACAGTATCTAAGTAGAGTTTTAGTTCTCCATGTTTCCGGGCCCATTACTCTGTCCATAATGGGATTTTTTAAGCACAAATAAAAAACATGTAAGTGGACATGTATCTTTTAAAATATTTCATAGTATGAATAGGGTTTAACATTCGAAAAAGCAAGTTTCTTCTATCACACTGCATCTGGATAGCGAAAATTACGTACTTTTTAAGACAACTTTAACAACAAAAAACGTAATTTACCAAAAATTCTATCATTCAATATTTTTAAATTTACGTTGAAATATAAGTCCTTCAAATTATTGATTAACTGTAAAAATTTCGAATGGTGAAGCTGACCTCAATATTGCACAGGACATCGTTAAAGAGGACATAAGCATGACAAAAACGTGTCATGTTTACATTTCTCGAGTACGGGAAAAACCAACTATGACGTCACACGTAAGCTAAATAAGCGAAATAAGATATACCTACATAAGATTTCCGTCATCAGCCATGCAAAAATAATTTTTGTGTTCCCCTGTCTCAGAATATTTTATCATATACTGATTAAGACCTGTTTTCACAAAGTAATACAGCCCCTGTATTTACCGAGTATGATCTTGCTGTACTAACAAATCGTGTATGACGTCACCGACTTGTTGGACGCGCAGTTTAGGGAAACAGAGGAGTGGATCAATCTTTTTCATAATTTGTTAATGCTTACAAGAATTTTAAAACTTTTTATTTTTTTAAATATAAGGTGGTTATTAAAGTTTAAAAAATGTCAAAAAATTATACAAGAACTGATGCTTTACACGTTTTGCACTTATATAAACGGAGACTATGACGTTGTTAAACAGAGTCATGTGACCATGTGTCCTTCATCCCCTTAAAACCAGAATACGAAACCCCAGTATATTAAGATTTAAGCTTAGTATGTTGTTTCATTAAGTAGAGCTTGGAAAATTTAGTATAGCTAATCGTTCTATGGTTTATATTTTTTTTTAATGAGTACATACATGTACCAGCATGTGCTGAAGCAAATAAAATTCACTGTTTTGGAAGATTACTTGTAGATAAAATCTTTATCTTTTGCATGTTATAAACATTGTCTGAAAATGTAAAGTTAAAGCTATTTCTGGGAAGAATCGGTACGTGTAACTTGACTACAAAATCAGGTAACCAGGTATAGTAAAGTATGACTATTTCCTTTTTCGAATAAACACGTGAAGTGTAAAGTAAAAGCTTACTCTTTTGGATGAGTTGGAAGCTATCGTGTATTGAGATGTCCTCAATGATTGTGGAGAAATTAAAATGGTTCTTTTTCTGTTGTAGTATCTTGTTCATGGCGTAGTGAAATCCAGTCCTGGCATATACATCGCTCCAATCAAATATGGCACCTAAGGAAACATTGTAATAATCTAGAGAAAATGCTCAGAGATTTACTTTAAAAAAAATAGCTTTATTAAGGAGTGATAAGATTTTTTTAAATGTTAGTACAAGGGATTATCGAAATAAGAGTGGACAAAGTGATTTTAAATCTTAAAAGTTCTTATTAGTTACTTACTACAACGAAGATTAATTCTTAAACCATTTTACCCATTCATTAAATTTTAGCTTAATTAAAATCTGTAAAGAAAATAAGGTTATGGAATCAAGTGCAGCATTCAAACCATTTGTATTACAATTTTCGGTTTTTTTAAAGAGTATCGGTAAAGCAACCTATAGAAAATCAACTTTTGACCTTTTTTTTTTTTTTTACTCTATGTGTATTAAATTTTGCAAGAAATAAATAAATAAAATGTTATTTCTCAAATTCTAAGAAACCTACCGATAGGGAAGCCGTGTTGATAGGGTACTGTCTCGACACAATACGCAGACTGGAACAAAAAACCACACACAATTACTAGAACTGAACGCATATTAAGACACTGTATTTAAGAAATCCTGTGGTTCCGATGTTGGTCAGAGTTTGAGCAATTTTACGCAGTCTTAGAAGTTCAGTCCATAATAATCCGAGTTATTGATCAGTTTCTATATCATCTTTTCCGCGGTAGGACAAACGGAACTTCACAATGGAAATCATAAAAATGACAAACATTTCAAACAAGCACCCGATGCTTCCAATGGTCGTTATTTTCTTGCATGTTTCCCATAAGAAAAACGCAGCGCCACCGTGTAATCCAATTTGCTTCTAAATACAAAGTATGGCTTCACGGATTGTAAAAATGACATTGAAGTGCCATGAAATTTGTCTTCCTGTCCTTATTAAGACATAGAGGAATTTCCAAGAGTAATTGGAAGGATTAAAAATACCATTTCTTTACAAAATGTACCACTTTTGAACAATATTATATAACTATTCGATAACGTCATTTATATTTGATTGGTAGTATTCATAGTAGAATAAAAAAAAATTAGCTAATCAATTTTTTTTCAGCTTGGTTATTAAGTTGCTTGATTGATTATTCACTGTCCATTCACAGTCTCTCACACTGTCTATTCAACTGAGGAATATAGTATAATATTATCTTTCATAGACTGCAAATCTGCTTATGCAAAAATTACCAAGGCTCCATGTCAGTTACTATCCTCATACACATCAAAACATTGATACTTATTACCTATATTTACATTTTTACCTTACAATTATTAGAACCCTAGCTTTAGATCAAACTTAATTCCTATATAAGTGTGCATACTTCAAAGAAGCTGCCGTGTATAACAGTTTGCATCGCATTTCCCTCCACTGGCCTCGATCTCTCCCTTATCGATACAATACATGTAACTACGCCTCCTGACGTAACGACAACTAAATGACAAATATAGACAGTTCAAGGGTCACACTAGATGTCATGTGGTTATGAAGGAATAACCCCAGATGTACTGGTAAACAAGATGTGTTTGTGAAACATTGATGCCCCCGAATGGCAACTCATAACAAAGGTCAAACTTTCTCGAATGCAAATCAGATATGTTGGTATCCAAAGTAAGGTCTTGTCTTGATGAATATACCTGTGAAATATGAAAACTCTAGCAGCAACCATTGAATAGATATGGAAAAGGTTAAAGTTTTCCAAAAGTTGGTCAAACATCAAGGTCAACTTCAAAAAGTCAAAATTAATGGTGCCCAAGGAAAGGCCTTCTAACAAGAAATACACATGTTAAATATGAAAGCCCTAGCACCAACCGTTCTAAAGTTATGGCCAAGGTTAAAGCCTTTCAAAAGTAGGTCAAATTCCAAGGTCAAAGTGTCAAAGTTGTTGGTATCCAAAGTAAGGTCTTGTCACAAGGATACATATGTGAAGTATGAAAGCCTTAGCACCAATTATTCAAAAGTAAAGGCCAAGGTTAAAGTTTTTCAAAAGTAGGTCAAACTTCAAGGTCAAAGGGTCAAAGTTGTTGGTATCCAAAGTAAGGTCTTAATTGTCACAAGGACTACATATGTGAAGTATGAAAGCCCTAGCACCAACTATTCAAAAGTAATAGCCAAGGTTAAAGTTTTGCAAAATTAGGTCAAACTCCATGGTGAAAGGGTCAAAGTTGTTGGTATCCAAAGGAAGGCCTTGCCACAACGATTTCATATGGGAAGTATTATAGCCCTAGCACTTACCGTTCAAAAGTTATGACTAAGGTTACAGTTTTGCAAAAGTAGGTCAAACTCCAAGGTCAAAGGGTCAAAGTTGTTGGTATCCGAAGGAAGGTCTTGTGACAAGGATTACACATGTGAAGTATGAAAGCCCTTGCACCAACTGTTCAAAAGTTATAGCAAAGGTTAAGTTTTTTCAAAAGTAGGTCGAACTCGAAGTTCAAGGTCAAAGGGTCAAAGTTGTTGGTATCCGAAGAAAGGTCTTGTCACAAGAATTACACATGTGAAGTTTGAAAGCCCTAGCACCAACTATTCAATAGTTATGGCCAAGGTTAAAGTCTGAAAAAATTAAGCAAAAGTGGGTCAAACTCCAACGTCAAGGTCAAATTTGATGGTACCCAAAGAAAGGTCTTGTCACAAGAAATACACATGTGAAATATGAAAGCCATAGCTCCAACCAATCAAAAGTTATGGGCAAGGTTAAAGTTTTTGCGGACAAATTGACAGCCGGACGGACGGACAGGGCAAAAACTATATGCCCCCGAAATTCGATTACAGGGGCATAAAAACAACATATTATTGAAACAACAAATGAATATATTTAAATATTTATCACTAACAGACATGGATATTTCTTACATTTTTGGAACTATAAAATGCAAAGTTATTATTATTCAGATTTGTATTTTACTTTAAAATGTTTCACCTTCTAATACATTGAATCTGTGTGATGAAATATTCTATATTCTTTTAAGAATATCTTAAAATGACATGTATGATCGAAAATTAAATCTATACGGTTAGTAGCAATCACAATAGAATTTAATTTTAAAATTCGATATGAAAAAGAGCATGGTAAGTGCATTCAGAATCACTGAAATCAAACATGTTGATAAGAGCAATAAATGATAGGTTCAATTTCCCCCCTTATTATTATTGACTTCTATCAGAAACATGGACAGTTTTTTTAATTTGAATGACAATAAAAGTTTATGAACTTTGTGGAACATCGTTTGTAAAATGTTTCAACGTGCACTTTCTGTAAATTTTCAAATGTTTACTTTTTAAAATAACAATACGTGGCGTGTTTTTGAGTTGCTTAGCTAAGAACATAGAAACATTTAAAGCTTGGTTGAATTCCTTCGTAAATAGCTAGCTTATGTGAACGAATATAGTAAATAAGATACTGTAAAAACCAATATAAAGCTATGTGTGATAATGTTGTGTTTTTCAGACAGAAATTGAACAACGATTTCCAAACCAATTAAACGGAAATAAAACAACACTGTTACACATCTTCCACAACGATGGTTCAATTAAAGAAAGAAAATGAAACGTCAGGAGCCTCAAAGACCATTTCTAAAATGCTGAAAAACTGAAATATGGCCATGGGTATTGTGATCCTGACAAGATGTTACAGTTCAATATAAATTCATACAGAAATTTGGCAAAAACCTAACGCCAGAAGGATGCACAAATGATGATCTGGAAGAATCCGAGTTGGGCGAAAGTGTTCGACAATCACATCTTTAATCGTACTCAAAGTGGTGAAAGAAATCGTGACCAGAAAAGCTTTGAGAAACAGGATTTGGACAATTTACATGCAATCGAGCGTAGTCTTCTCTGCGTTTTAAGATATAATGATGCACGACACCGGCGGAAGCAATTTAACAGGATTTCCATCATCGGGGGAACTAGATTAACGTTGAAAAATTCGGAAAAAAGCAAAAATGGAAAAAAGAAATTAAATTGGAGAGGCTGCTCTTCTTTGTTAAGAACAGATCGATGTGAAGCTTTTCGCCCTCTTTACAAAAAAACATTGGAATTATTTCCGCGGGTTCCTATTTTTCTATTTCTTAAGATAACAGAAAATATCTTCGCTCGTCGATTGAATGCCTGTTCAGGCTATGTTGAAGGACAAGAAATCGCAATCTAATGCAATATCTACACAGATTGTATTTGTTCAAGTAAATTGGTAACACGCTGTAAACTTTCTTAGATTATGTAGACTTAGCTATCGGATGGCTTTTGTCATTTCTGACAGTTTAAGGACGTCTTTTTATTGACTATCAAATAGGCGTACGTTTTGGTAATTTCATTAGCTACGCTTCGTATCAGATCACTTAAGTATCGGAAAAAATTGTAAAAGAGATTCAGCGTAAAATTGAATATCATTTTCCTTTTTACTCCTCCAACTGTGACGTTCAGTTTCTGACTAATAAGGTAAATAGAGAAGAGGCAATGTTTGTGAGTTTTGGCGTTGTGGGCTGTAAAAAGTAGTCCATATTTCTAAGATTTTTTTTTCAAAACATGCTTATGTTTAAGTGAAGCAAGGTTTAAGTAATCCGAATGTATTACAGAAGATAACAAGGAACAGTAGCTCAAACAGGTGTTGCAGGCTATAAAGTATGGTCTCTTAATTGACAAACATATAAACAGACGGATATGAGTTGTAGTAAGTGTGGTCACTAGACTGGCGAACAAATTTAATGCACATAATGAAAAGAAACTAGGAAAGCGGAAAATTGATCTATGAACTTACTATAAGATTGAAAGCAATAACCTTTGTCACACTGAACTGCACGACCTTCCCTTTCCATGTCAATTTTGAATGTTGCTGCACAACTACTGTGAAGTTTCATCAATAATGCATAAGTCGTCCATGAGAAATTAAGAGGAACAAAAAATACCCCCCGACTTCGTTTGGGGTGATATAATAGTAAAAAGATTTTGCTAGGCATTTAAAATTAAAAGTTGCAAAGACCTTTTGACTAGACAGGTAAATAAGGCTCGAGACATAAACACTTTGACCCCTTGTAGCTCAAGACGATTGTCCAAAAGTGTATTTGATAAAGAATATGATTAACTGCCATTATATAAACACTGCACAAAACAAATGTTGAAATATTTAGTAGCAAATGAATTCATAAAATATATATGAACAAATACATCGGCTCGGTGATACTAAATTGATTGATATAATTACTTTAACATTGTTGTTAACTCTCTGTTTCTGTTTTAAAATCAACTGCTTCTTCAAGAAAATGGACCTCGATTATTTTGAAATCTTGCGATCTGTCATTTACAAAAATACTTTGTTAAAATCATTCTGACTCTACACACAAAAAACTCTGAAATCAATATAAAAGACGCTGAAATTCTTTTAATTAAAATTGCCAAATTCAGTCTTGGGAGGCCAGGTCTTCCAACAATCTGTTGGAATTCCGGTGGGCCATATTGTGTTCCTTTATTTGCCAGCTTGCTGCTATTTTCTTATTGTTCAACTAATAACCATTAGTAAACTGTATAACAAACAGGATGACTTCTGATATTCCAATGTCAACTTTCCTTATTTATGTACTATGACCTGCATATGGTGTGTATGTATCCAAACTTATTTGGTATAGAAGAGAGTGTTATGAATACGATTCATTTTAAACAGAGACAAGCTACTGAAAAATCAGTTTATGTTACACGACTTTCAACAATCTTTTTAAAATAAAAGTCAGTATTGTGCAAATTCTTTGGTCGTTATTATTACCTTGTTTGTAAATACAACCAATCATTGGGTCGTATTCTGACTGACATGTTTTCTGCAAATTGTTAAGCCAATGTTTTTATACCAATTTTGACGACGTTTTACTTCATTTTCCTGATCAATGCACAGGGGGCTCACAGCAGGTGTGAACCATCGACAGGGGATGCTTACTCCTTCTGGCACCTTATCCCCAGGTTTTTCCAGGGGTTTTGTCCTGTGTACGATTTGTATTGTATGTATTGATCAGATGGACGGAACATTCCGTAGTAAAATTCAGCATAAAAACAAAGGCCTAACAACTAAGCTACCAAAACCTGTATCTTTACAATTTTACATGTTTAGTTAAAATTTGAAACACAGTTGCTTTGAAATAATACCGTACTCCTATGACATTCATCCAGTCTGTCTGGTGTACTCTGGTAAAGTACGATTTACGTAATTGAACGAATTATATATCGCTTATTAATTTCAACAAAGAAGTAAATTGTACAATGTTGTATTATTTCATTTGAAGACTTGTAATTGGGTAGTTTAAGCCTGATAATTCAATTTTAAAATTTTTCTGGTGACACAGTTATTCACTAAATTTACTTGTCCTGGTTTTTCAATTACAGCATTTGAATACGTACATCTTTAATTATGTTCCCCAAACGAAGTTTGGGAACATATTGTTTTTACTCTGTTTCTTATTATTATTATTATTATTATTATTATTATTCTTTTTTTCTACTTTCTTCTCCGGTACTTTTTTGTCCGGGAGTGTTCTCATAGAACCACTCATCCGATTGACATGAAACCTTTTTAGAGTTAATAGGCATGTTGTGTAGGTGTTCGGAACGAAGGTCATTTTGCGCGCACATGCATGCACGTGCGCTCGCGTGCAATGAGTGAAATGACTGATATACTTGATGAAGCCGTAACTTTTATATTTCTTGATGAATTGCTTTGAAACTCAAAAAATAAAGATATATTAGTAGTCTAGACAAGATAACATGGTCAAATTAGCGTGAACTCACGCGCATGCACGTGCGCTCTCCTCTGATTGGCTGATACAAAAATCTCAATAATTTCTTTGTTTTTTGACAAAATACTTTGAAGTTTAGAATATAAGTATATGTTATAAAGTGCTACAACATGTTATATAGGAAATTTCTTGAAAACACGCGCATGCAGGTGTGCTGCAATCTGATTGGTTGAAACTTTAAATGTCTATAACTCCCTTGGTTTTCAACAAAACAGGATGAAATTTACGACATGGATAGGCACATAGAGCTCCTACATTATGATACTATCAAATTTGAATGCAAGGCCATGCATGCGCGTATGCTGAATTCTGATTGGTTAATACTTAAAGGGTTACATCTCTTTTATTTTTCAATGAGATTCTTTAATATTTAACACAAATGTATGTATTGTGAGACACTATAAGAAAATGAATGTGAAAAATGTAGAAAACATGTGCAAGCACATGCGCTGAAATTTGATTGGCTAATACCCATATGGCTATATAGGAGTAGATTTCCAATGAAATATCCCTGAAAATAAAGTGTCCATCTATATTACAAAAGTATTGTCTAATTTATTGAAGCTTGTAGGGAATGGGGCATTATAAGGGATTGGGGAGCCGTTTGGGGAACATCTGTAACGGTTCCTGTTACAATTAGCACTAGTTTGTCTTGGATTGAAATTTGAAAGCACAGATTCTAGTTTTATAAATTTTTGGAGTTGGGTATAAAAACATATGAACATAATCATTTTCTCTTTCCCTGGCTACTCAAAGATAGTTACAATGCATGGTAATTATAAAGCAGTCCTGCATGGCCATATCATAAATTCTGTATTTACTTCCCAAGCTTTCTAGCCTTTAATTATTAAGGGGCGACGTTTTACTCTCTGTATCCTCTGGCGGTTCTTTGAGAAGTTTTGGGACACTGATTCAGTATTGATCTGTGAGTCTGTCCGCCTTCATAGTGAAGCCGCTTAAATCTTCTGTGATAGGTTAATAATACGTCTTCACACTTTCTGTAATCGCTGTAATGAATGCCAATCGCACCGCCGACTCTCGGAATATTTTACATCAAAGACGTTAAGTCGGGCTTATTGTGTTCTTGAATGAAACTTCTCAGTCTTATGATTGTTTTTTAGTCTGTTGAGACATTTACATGATTTTATTTGTAAACTCTCTTCTATCCAATTGCAGGGATGAGATTTCATTATCTCATCTTTTTTCGAGACTGGCGAAGAAAAGTGACCATTATGCTGTTACTCCGAAGTTAATGGAGGAAAATGGTGGCTAACATAAAACATCAATTCTGAAAACCATCTCTTGAACATATTTATGAGACGGATATAAATACGCAATTTTTCAAAAGTTTTGTCGAGCCTACTCGAATTCGATTGTGATATATTTTGGAGTAACAGCATTGAAAAGTAAAAAGAATATAATGTCTAAAAGAATGTCCAACTCCAAGATGTCTTGTCCGGCATCCCTGTTTACAATGCTTTCTGTAAGTCGTGTGTTATGTATCTACTACAAATGTTGTCTTCATTTTGAAGAGCACATGTACAACTTGAATACTTGATAACACATTGGTTATAAGAGTGTATTGAGATATTACCGAGAAATACCCCCACTCTTTGTCTTCCTGGTTGCACTATCCAAACACTCTTTTTTATGTTATCTCAATCGGAAGCATCCAGCAAACGAAGAAGACGAAAGAACATATTGACCAGTTTATTGAATCTGTCAACTACATCAGTCAAACAAAAGTAATCAGCGATCAGGGGAAAAAAGCAAACTACAGATTCAGCCTTTAATGATTATCCATCAAAGCAATAAAACAAGAACGGCAAATTCATCAGCGGATAAACGCTTGTCTTTGCGATGACATCATGATGGAATACCTAGATTTCTGATTATAGACAGCGGTGATAGAAATAAAACACGTTCTGGTCTAAGTATACTGAAAAATGCAAAGTTAATTTATATACTATTAATGGCGGCATCAAATTCAGATGCCTTGAAATATAAATTGGATTCAAGATTCGATTAATGCATTTGATATTCTTATTAATGGCTGTTTATTTTTTTTCTTCAAAATATCTGGGACTGAAATATGTCGCAAACATAAAAATTCTCATTCTATTCAAAGCAATACATTTTTTATAAAGTACATGTGGCTTAGTACAAATACGTTCAATAAATAACAGTGTAAAAATACTGAAATATATACAAATGATACCATGAACATGAATACAGTTAGTGTTAAGTAAAACATATGGTAAATAAAATGATTATATATATTTCAATTCGGCCAATAAATTAAATAGTAATACTTTAAGAAAAGACGTACATATATTCAGCCTTTTCGTACCTCAATTGCACAAATATATTCAATGAACAGAAAATAATATTTGTTGAGTTACTAATCTACTCTCTATGTACACAAATCTGGATTGAAATCATGAAGTCATAAGAGATGGGATAAATGTGTTTACTACTACTTTACTCCAACAGTTTTGATTATCTTCAAAGTTCTGTGTTTTTACCGCTTTCAAATGTTGTGAGTTGTTCTGGAGGATTAAATATATACTGAAAGGCAAAAAAAAAAATTAAATACAATTACAACTCGAACTTTTATATTATTTGACTGTAATTTTGCGAAAAAAGCCTATAAGGATGAATATATTACTTGATATTCCATTGATATTCACAGTATATCAAATAACTCTAGAATTGATATATTAGATAATCTCATTGTCGTAGTTGAACATCTCCTTTTCAAAAAAATATTTGGTTACTAATTCGGTTGCAAATTAAAGCATTTTTCTGAAATTTTAAGAAAATAATTCTTTTTCGAAATTCTAGTTATATTCTCAGCATGAAGACCAACAGATGACGGAAGAAGTATATATATTAAATCATTTAAATATATACAGTTACTGTGTATATATGTTATCATATTTTATACTGTTTTACTTTTCAAAGAAAGGACGTCATGTATTCTGTGAATGCCCCATTTTCTAAGTAATTAGAAATTTTGGCCAAGGGACATTTGCTCGTGCAACTCTAATTTTTTTTCTTCGATAAAGCCCAGAGCCCATCAATTAACAATTCTAGGTATCGCATACATGTAGAAGTCATGTATACCATTTCCATGAATATCACCTTTAAGTTCAAATTTCCAGTTTCTCAGCACTATAACTTTTGGAGAAAAAAAATCATCGTGTTCGTATGTTATTATCACATTTAAACAGTTTGTTGCATAAATATCAAGGTATTCAAAAGATAAATTTTGACTTGTCTGTTCTCAGTTTATGGTGTTTGGGCCTGACTACTATAGTATAACAGCATAGCATTCTATGATTAATGTTTCTAGATTAATACATACTTATTTTAATTTGATAAAAAACAAACTACAATTAACGTTTCTAGTATATTAATATATATTTATATTTTTTTTAGGTTGAAAAGAAAACAAAGTTAAATGTGATATCCGATATTTTGAATATTTATCTGAACTGCAATCTCTGTGTTAAATTTTGTTGTATGATTTCTATCTTTTTTTCAGAATTACATAAATATCATAAGATTAATTATCTGTAGAAGTATAGCAATAAAGCTTACAGCGTTTGCCTCATCACAGATGCCAGTGTAACCAGCTGCTTTCAGTACCTCCAGAGGATGCTTTTTTTCAATCTTAATCGCAGGCCTAGGAGCATCTGTTTGCTGTATTAGATAAATGAAAAAAAAAAATAACGACACCTTGAGGATACCTGTCGGGTTTAGATTGATATTAAGTACAGTATATAGAAATTAATTAAACCCAACATGCCTTATTCTTTCCTAATCCTTGCAAAATCTTGAAAGTTTTTCTTTGTTATATCACGACTATTCTAATACGGTTTACCTTTTGAAATCTTAGTTTGTGTTGTTTACGCAGCCGATGTACGGAGTATTCAACAAGTGATACCAACATAGAAAGAACAAGTCCGCCAATCAGTATATGAAATATTCCTGATACGTTGCTCAGAGTAAGAGCGTTCTTCGAAGTGTCCTAATGAATTGATGAAAAAATAAAGAAAAAATTAATGAAATAAACTTCAATAGCTAAATGTAGATTTTTGACAGTACACAGTTCTAAACATATTCCCAATTTTGGATAAGTCCATAGAAACTTCAACTCCATTTCAAAAATCGAACCATGTCAATAAAAAGTTCTTTTGATTAATGAGTTTGTTCCTATTAAGATTGTAAGACATTGTCAATTATTCTAAAGAGAATTTCAATAATCTATAATTTTAAACGTCACAAATAGTGCAAGATACGATATATATATATATATATATATATATATATATATATATATATATATATATATATATATATATATATATATATATATATATATATATATATATATAAAGAAAACCAACTTTTGGTACAGTAATTTACTGATATATCCAATGAAAAAAATCAAGATTCACATGACTCGAATAATAAATTTAACTGATTATTAAATGATTTTTTGAGTCTTGTAAATCTTGATTTTTATCATTGGAAATATATATATATATATATATATATATATATATATATATATATATATATATATATATATATATATGATATTTCTGTGGGTATTCTGTTTTTTATTTTTGCAAGACGTGTATACATTTCAACATCTTGAGTTTCCAACTTTCTGATGCCTTTTGATGAAACGGTTGAAATTTTCCTGAGTTTTATAAACATTGTTGAACAGTTTTACAAATAAACAGGTCTAGACGATTTCAAAATATGGAAGTCAAGAACGAGAACTGAAAGTTGCTATAAATATACATCATATACACGTAAATATATTTCTGCACAATCAGAAAACCGCATTTCTACACACCTAAAAATATATTTTAAAGGAACAAAAAGAGAACACATGCTTTTGTTTTTTCCATCAAAAAGATTTTTTTGACCAAAAATCTTTAGAAGTAAGATGAAAAGTTTGGAAGAATAAGGTATTCCCTACATATTTATCTTGAACAAACTTAACATTTTCATCTAGGAAAAGAAAAAAAATAATGCAAGTAACAATGCGATTGTTTACGGAGGAATAGATCACATCATCAAGTTATTATCAAGTACAATTATTATAACATTTACCAGAACATACTATAATTTTGATTAGCCGTCCGATTTTCATCAGTAACGCGTAGTTTCCATCCGTATAGATCTAGTGCACACAAGTATTCATAGTTTAGACTGCATGTAGTTTTAAAATAACACGGGTTTCATAAGCGTCAAATACCATGTTATATACACTTTAAATGGACCTAAGGGAAGGTAAAAACGTGGAGAAAAAGGGATGTACATGAATGCTTTTTATCACCATATCTTATCTCGCATACCAGAAACTGCATGGACGATTTTGTAATAAACACTCAGGAAACAAGATGTGTTTGTGAAACATTGATGCCCCGTATGGCAACTTATAGCAAAGATTAAACTTTCTCAAATGCAAATTAACATTTGTTGGTACTCAAAGTAAGGTCTTGTCTCAAGGAATATACCTTTGAAATATGAAAGGCCTAGCAGCAACCATTGAATAGATATGGAAAAGGTTAAAGTTTTTCAAAAGAAAGTCAAAAATCAAGGTCAAGGTCAAATTTTCAAAATTAATGGTGCCCAAGGAAAAGCCTTCTCACTAGAAATACACAAGTTAAATATGAAAGCCCTAGCACACAACTGTTCAAAAGTTTTGGCCAAGGTTTAAGTTTTCCAAAAAGAAAATCAAACTCCTAGGTCAAGGTCAAAACGTCAACGTTGTTGGTATCCAAAGGAAGGTCTTGTCACAAGGATTACATATGTGAAGTATGAAAGCCCTAGGACCAACTGTTCAAAAGTTATAGCCAAGGTTTAAGTTTTTCAAAAGAAGATCAAACTCCTAGATCAAGTTCAACGTTGCTGGTATCCAAAGGAAGGTCGTGTCACAAGGATTACATATGTGAAGCATGAAAGCCCTAGCACTAACCTTTCAAAAGTTATGGCAAAGGTTAAAGCTTTTCAAAAGTAGGTCAAACTCCTAGGTCAAGGTCAAATGCTCAAAGTTATTGGTATCCAAATGAGGATCTTGTCATAAGAATTATATATAAGAAGTATGAAAGCCCTAGCACTAACCATTCAAAAGTTATGGCGAAGGTTCAAGTTTTTTTTTCAAAAGTAGGTCAACTCCTAGGTAAAGGTCAAGGGGTCAAGATTGTTGATATCCAAAGGAAGGTCTTGTCACAAGGATTGCATATGTGAAGTATGAAAGCCCTAGCACCAACTGTTCAAAAGTAATGGTTAAGGTTAAAGTTTTTCAAAAGTAGGTTAATTTCCTAGGTCAAGGTCAAAGTTGTTGGTGTCAAAAGAAAGGCCTTGTCAAAAGAATTACACATGTGAAGTATGAAAGCCCTAGCACCAACTACTCAAAAGTTATGGCCAAGGTTAATGTTCGGTAAAATTTTGCAAAACTAGGTCCAAGGTCAAGGTCAAAATGTCAAATATAGATGGTACCCAAGGAAAGGTCTTGTCACAAGAAACACACATGTGAAATATGAAAGCCATAGCTCCAACCAATCAAAAGTTATGGACGATGTTAAAGTTTTTGCGGACAAACAGACAGACGGACGGACAGGGCAATAACTACACACCCCCAAATCTTCGATACGGGGGCATAAAAATTAAGACTGTTTCCAATTTCCAATACGAAAACATCGCAGCACAGTTAAGGCTACAATTAGGAGGCGGGGCCTAATTTTTACGGGAAATGCTTACTATGACATCACTCAAAAATATAAGTTCTTCAAATTACCACAAAATGAAATGATTTGCTATTGTAAACTGTTGAATAGCTTTAAACTACATCAATACTTACTATTGCATGTATTTTTGTCGTTGGGTAAATCCTACACAGCAATATTTTAACAATTCACTGATCGCAATGCACTTGTCAATGTGACGTCATATCGGAAAATTTGACGCAGTTTGTATGCAGTGAGAGGCGGATCAAGTTATATTTTATACAATGAAAAATGTATTTTGTAATTAAATAAAATATTATTTGCAGATATATAAAAGGCCATTAACTTGGATGCGCTGTCTATTTTATGATTTTATTCATATACTCCCCGTACATTCCCTAGACAAGCGATACTGCCGTATATTTGTATGCAGATTCATTGAAGGGTAATAAAAGGGTCGTAATAAATCGATATATTGCAAGGGCATACCCTCAATGAATCATGACAAGCTTTTACACATTAACTCAAGAAGTATAAAGATATTTGAAAAGTGCTGCGAACCTGATGAAATCTTGCAAATTAATTAATTATGTCTATATTTAATGTACCTGACCAGCAAAATATTCAACATACGGTCTAACAAATGTAATTTTAGCAATTAGATAGTAGAATCTAAATAGGTTCGCAGCACTTTCTACAAACTACAAATGATGTTGCAAATTATTATAAATTAAACTTAGATTTTTAACTTGGTTATGCCCTTGCAATATTTGAATTTATAGATGATCTCAATACTGCAGATATATTTGCTAAGTTCACGTGACTGCCACATCACGTGACAAGTCTAAATAAAAAATCTAATCGTTCTCAACATGTAGTTTTCAAACCACGTTACATTTGTCCGATAATAAGAAAGTCCTAAAAAGAATCGCTCGACCTTGTAAAAAATGTATTTTCTATCTCAAAAATTCGCCGATATTTCCATTTGGCACCTTAACTGTACTGCGATTTTCACGTCAGACTCTAAAAACTGAAAATCTGCCGTATTTATATTAAATTTCTTAGCACAAGTTAAACTTTTGGGATTGCTACCTCTTAGTGACAGATTTTTAATCCCACTTAGAATTTATTTTAAGCTTTCAAGTCGTGTTTGTTCACGGTAGCATTGTCAAATATACTATATCATTCCTAAATTTGCAAAAAGTTTACAAAAAGTTTGTTCTAAAAAAATCTTTTGAGCAAAAATCTTTAAAACCACGTGTTTTATTTATTTGCTCAAGGGTTTGTCTCAATGCTGTAATCTGATTGGTCAGAAGGATTAGCACATTGTTTATTCTGTGTATTTCTAGCAATTCATGGTTATCGTTCTTGACTTCCATATTTGGAATTCGTCCAGACCTGATAAATGTTAACATTCAAAAAGACAATATTGTGAAGGGAGATAATCCAAATTTTCATTCATAAACTTAGACTTAACAGAAGAATTATGAATAAGAGCTGAAACACAAAAATGTTCCTTCCATTAAATAGAGGAGGTTGGATTTACCAGAGCTGAGAAAATTCCATTCTTTATGACTTTAGAGTAAAGATAAAAACATGCAAAATAAAAACTTTTTATGAACAGATCAAGACTGCTCGATTTTATGCATCTACCAGGACACCGAAACGGAAATTCCAAATCAAAACATCCATAATGCATGCAAACAAAAATGTTAATTCACACTCCAACATTCAAGGAGGATTTTTATTGATTTCTAGAAGAAAATGTGTTTCATATGTATGTAATTTTAATCGTCTTCAATATTGTATTTAATTATTGACTGATATTTATTTTTTAATTCAAACTTCAAAGATATGTTCTCATGTTTTTGAGGCTTAACAGACAGTAGACATGATTTTATTAAAACGTTCTATTCGATTGTAACCGATGTTGTGTTTTGTGATTGCTAAATTTATTAATACTTCAAAGGAATATATATTTCTATTTCAATGGTATTGTGTTAATACCTGTTGATTTGTACACTATATTAAAAAAGCAAAGCGTATCTTTCAGAAAACATTCAGAAACATTCATATGGAAATATTTATTTCATTTCAAGAAATATGAAAAATGATACTTTGATTATATGATAAACTATAATATGTAAATAATATAAATCCTTATTTCATTAAATTTCACTAAAGGATATAAGGCAAAAACTATACATTCTGTGAGATAAAGAACTGGTCGAGGGTCATAGGGCCGAGATCAAAAGAATGTACAGTTTGAGGCTTATATCCTAGG